ATACCCCCTACCGGGGATGTGCCCGCAACCAAGGTACATGCCCTTGACCGGAATCGAACCTGGGACCCTTCAGTCCGCAGGCCGACGCTCTATCCACTGAGCCACACCGGTTTCGGCTTATTTCTCTCTCCGCCTCCTCCCGGGTCAGCCACCAAGGCGTGTCCGGTTACGTCCCTCGCCATTGTGTGTGGGGAAGAGTCATCTGTTGATGGAAACATGTGGGGAAGGACGGCCTAATGGTTAGGCGTGGCCATCCAGACCGACCGGCTCTGCATTAACTAGCTGTTGGGACTTGGGGAAGTTACTTAATCCCTTTGGGCCCCAGGTTTCCACGAGAAAAAAAAAAAAAAATAATTTGAGTAATCGTCGTGTTTACCTGTGAGCCTCAAGGGAGAGCATCTCATTCTGATGGAATGTCACCAGCGCTGGGAACACTTAAGGTCCCCAAACCTATCCTGGCCCCTTCTTTTTGTTTTCTACTATTTTTCTTTTTCTTTTCTTTTTAAAAAATATAGTTTATTGATTTTTTACAGAGAGGAGGAGAGAGGGATAGAGAGTTAGAAACATGGATGAGAGAGAAACATCGATCAGCCGCCTCCTGCACCCCCCCCCCCCACCGGGGATGTGCCCGCAACCAAGGTACATGCCCTTGACCGGAATCGAACCCGGGACTTTTCAGTCCACAGGCCAACGCTCTATCCACTGAGCCACACCGGTTTCGGCTGTTTTCTACTATTTTTCTATTAGTTTTTATTTTATTTTTAAAATATATATTTTATTGATTTTAGAGAGGTAGGGAGAGGGAGAGAAAGATAGAAACATCAATGATGAGAAAGAATCATTGATTGGCTGCCTCCTGCATGCCCCCTACTGGGGACTGAGCACGCAACCCAGGCTTGTGCCCTTGGCCAGAATCAAACCCGAGACCCTTCAGTCCACAGGCCAATGTTAGAGATTTCAATTTACTGCTTTGAAACATTGAAAATCAATGATTTTCTCTCATCATTGATGTTTCTATCTCTCTCTTCCTCTTCCTTTCTCTCTGAAATAAATAAAAATATATTTTAAAAAATACAGATGACTCTTTTAGGCCTTGGAGTTGGAAAAGACTTCTTAAATAAATAAAAAAAAACACACAAAAACACATGTATCTAAAAAGGAGAAGCTGATCAGTTGGACTATATTAAAAGCGAGCACATTCGTTTGTCTATAGATGGTATGCAAACAACGTCCAGGACTAAAGATCATTCCGCTGCCTTTCACCCCACCCTCTCAATAAATCCCGGTTATAATTCGAGATTAGATTGAAACATACATAGCATTTCAGATGACTCTGTAGTCTTAAAGGGACCATTGTTTCCTGGGAATCGTAAGTCTTCTTGGCGCCCAGGTGTTCCCTCTTGCTTCCTGGTTGCTCTCCCTCCCGCGTGGAATATGAACTCCGGATCCAGCCACGCAGGACTTTACCCCTGCCGCCAGAATAAAAATCCGAAGTCACCAAAAATAACGTTTCCACGGAGGCGAGTGACAATTAAGCGCTCCTTCCTCCAATATTTACTGAGCACCAACTGTCTGCCGGACACTGTGCTAGAAGCTGGAGGCACAAAAATAAGCTACAGTCCTGGTCCCAGTGGCTGAGCATCAACCATTGAACCAGGAGGTCACAGCTCGGTCCCTGGTCAGGGCACAGGCCCAGGTTACAGGCTCCATCCCCAGAAGGGGGTGTGCAGGAGGCAGCTGATCCGTGATTCTCTCTCACCATTGATGTGCCTAATTCTCTCTCCCTTTCTCTTTCTCTCCCTTCCTCTCTGAAATGAAGCAGAACTATGCCTCCAGGATGCAAGAAAGAGGCAGGCCGAGGTGGAAACTTTATTTTTAGTGACTTTGAATTTTTATTTTATTTTATATATATATTATTGATATGAAAGAGGAAGGGAGAGAGAGAAACATCAATGATGAGAGAGAACCATTGATTGGCTGCCTCCTGCACGTTCAGCACGGCGGGAGGGGGGTGGGGCTTGTGGCTCTGGCCAGAATCAAACCTGGGACCCTTCAGCCTTCAGGCCAGCGCTCTATCCACTGAGCCACACCGGCCAGGGCTACCCTGTTTAGATAGTACAGGAACCGGCCCCCACACACTTCCCACTTAGATGTTACAGTCCTACCAATTTGTGTCTTCCCATCCCTTCCCTACCTAAGCCTGTGAGGTGGGGAAGGTGACAGCAGCTGTGTCCATTTTTCCATGGCCACTGACCAGCCTGGCCACATGACACCGTCTACTGGACACCGCCCGCACACACTCGGCCACCCGGCTAATCAGCCGTCGTTCTAGATTTTTTCCCACTGATGTGACCGGTGCTCTTGGTTGCAGCACTCACGTTCAGTACCTCAATTTCCTCATTATTTAAGGGACTTGAATGACCAATCCAGGTTGAACTTTGCTTCCTTGGGAGCGAAAGTGTTCTATCAAAGCAAAATAAATGTCTTCAGATGTCTATTCTGAAAGAATTAGACCTTAGTAATTCATCAGATATCCAATTTTATTTTATTTTTGAAATTATTTATTTATTTTAAAATATATTTTATTCATTTTTTGCAGAGAGGAAGGGAGAAGGATAGTTAGAAATATCAATCAGCTGCCTCCTGCACACCCACTACTGAGGATGTGCCCGCAATCAAGGTACATGCCCTTGAACTGGATCGAACCCGGGATCCCCTCAGTCCGCAGGTCGACGCTCTATCCACTGAGCCAAACCGGTCAGAGCTCAAATATTTATTTAATGTTTATTTTGTGTACATCACAGAGGTACGTGCTTCTTGCGAAGGATTAGCAACAGATGATATATAGCCCTGGCTGGTTTGGCTCAGTGGATAGAGTATCTGTCTGCCAACTGAAGGGTCCTGGGTTCCATTCCAGTCAAGGGCATGTACCTGAGTTGCAGGCTCTGTCCCCAGTAGGGGGCACGCAGGAGGCAACCGATCAATGATTCTCATCATTGATGTTTCTCTCTCTCTCTCCCTCTCTGAAATCAATTAAAAATATATATATTTTAAAAAAACAAAAAACAGATGCTATATATATTGCTCAGGAAATGTGTCTTTGAAAAGTTAGCAACAATAGTTATTCCCTATTTTAAGTGACAAATGCCTATCCAATATTTGTTTCTCCTTAAACAATAAGAATTTAAATGCACCTGAAGAGATAAAAAGCGAAGGACTTCATTCAGACCTAAGGTTTTGCAAGGACGAGCAACAAACAATGAGGCCCTTTCTCTGCCCTGTTTCTTCCCGAGGTAAGTGAAATAAAGACAACAGTTAGAATCCCTAACATCACAGGCCTCTGAGTTCTATTCCGCAAGGAAGCATTTCTGAATTTCTCTGTTAGCATTGCGTTTCCTTTCGCCACGTATCTTAGGGGGCACGCAGAGAATTCGTGTCTGTGGGCCAGTCCAGACGGGCACAGATCATCTCCAAGCCACCCTCCCATCTCCCCGCCAGTGGCTTTTAAATTGTTCACTGTTTTTAGAAATGCCATAACCTCGGCGTATTAAATATTAAGGGAACTCCATGCCCAAACCGGTGTGGCTCAGTGGACAGAGCGTCGGCCTGAGGACTGTAGGGTCCCAGGTTCGATTCCGGTCAAAGGCATGTACCTTGGTTGCGGGCACATCCCCAGTGGGGGGTGTGCAGGAGGCAGCTGATCGATGTTTCTCTCTCATTGATGTTTCTAACTCTCTATTCCTCTCTGTAAAAAAAATCAATAAAATATATATATTTTTAAAAAATAAGTAAATATTCAGGGAACTCCAGATTCCCAGAACCTTCAAGCTTCGCTGTGCAAAGCGGTGCTTTTTTTCCGTGTGCGTTTCCATGGTGCCGAGTCCCAGGGATGGCAGCAGGGCTTTGTGAGCAGCGGGCACCGGAAGCGCCTCTCTCCTGCCACTTGCCTGGCACGAGGGCCCACTCGCTGGGAGATATTTTGCAAACAAGAGCTGAAGAGGCGACCACGCAAAAGAGCGCGCACAGGCGGAAATGAGGATGAATACACGGAGCGCTGTCTGGCAGAAAGCGAGAGGTTTGGCAGTTTCTTTTTCTTTTTTTAAAAATATATATTTTATTGATTTTTTTTTACAGAGAGGAAGAGAAACATCGATGAGAGAGAATCATCGATCAGCTGCCTCCTGCACACCCCGCCGCTGGGGATGTGCCCGCAACCAAGGTGCATGCACTTGACCGGAATCGAACCCGGGACCTTCCAGTTCGCAGGTCGCCGACGCTCTACCCACTGAGCGACACCGGTCTGGGCTGGGTTGGCAGTTTCTGCAAAAGGAAGAGGATGCTGCATGCGGTGTAAACCCGGAGGGAGAAAAAAAAAAACACAACAAAACAAACACGCAGCGGCCTTGTGCTTAGAGACCTCCAGAGGTCGTTTCCTTCCCCCCTCCACCTCGGGGAGGGAGGAGGAAGAGTCCCCGGGGCCCAGGAGGCACTCCCCCCCCCAAAAAAAAACAAAAAACCGTTTCCGGGATCGCAGCCTCTCCCCTCCCGCCCCGGGAGCAGGGCCGGCCCAGGCCACGACTCCCAAAAATAACCGCACAGATGCGGGGCCCGGGGCCAAGGCCCGCGGCCCGGGGCGGCGCTTAGGTTTCCGCCTTATCGCTGCCAGCCAGCGCCCCGAAACCTAACCCCGCGCGCCGGCCTTTTATACCGCGTCCCTGGAGCCCCGCCCTAGCAACCGCCCCTAGCAACGCCTCGCCCCGGCGCACCTCGCGCGCTAGCTGCCTCCGCCAGGCTCTTCCGGTTCCCCTCCCGCCGCCAGCTCGGCTCGGCTCGGCTCGGCGAGCGCGGACCACGTGACCTGCCCCAGGAGAGGGGCGGAGCGAGCGGAAGGTCTGAGGGGCGGGGCGTCGGGCGCCGGGGTGACGTCATCAAGTGGCGCTCCCCCCGACCCAGTTGTGTCGCGGAGGCTCGGGGCGTCTCTGTTTCCGGCATTTGGTGAAATGGCGGAGGCGGCGGCGGTCGTGTGGATTCGCGGCCCCGGCGTTGGGTGCAGGGCGGTGCGGGATGTCCCGGCCGTTTGCTCCGTTCAAGACCTTATCCACCGCCATTGCCAAGATGAGGTGAGGTTCGCGGTTCCCGGAAGGAGGGGGAAGGAACCGGTCCAGGGGACCGACCGGGTTGGATGCGAGAGGGTCTGTCTGGAGTGTGTGTGTTCTTTGGGGCTTTCGGGTTGTTTTGTTTTTGTTTTTGTTTTGTTTTTTAAGACGGAGGGTTCCTCCGTGTTAAAGGGCTTCACACTGATGCTGAGGCCTCCCTCTGCCTTTTTGGTGGTGATGGGGGTTTTCTCACCGCACAGAAAAGGGGAAACTCCGCTCACGGACGCCTAGGCCCGCCCTCAGTCCGGACTGAGAGAGAACACTTGGGTATTCCGTATTTTCATTCCCAAATGGGGCATTTGGACCAGGTGACTTTTGAGACTTGTTTTATGTTCATTCTGTGATGATTTGATGCGGTCACATGTTGTCCACAGCTCAAACATTCCAACAAACTACAGCCTAGAGGAGAATGACATCATATCCAAACCCAGGTCCAAGGAAGGTTGGGGAGGGACATGGGTTCACCTGGTCACTCTCTGGCTGGGACAGCCAAACACTCGTGTCTGTTGAGGGTGTAGATTCTTGGGTTCTTGGGGCCTGTCATTTAAGAAAAAAAAAAAAATTGGTATCAGAGAGGACGGGGGAGAGAGGGATATACGTAGTGCCTCCAGAGTTACCAGATCTGTGTCCTGTGTAGCCTTGACTCTGAATGCCCATTAGAGAGAGGCAAAGAAGCAGCTTTTATTCTCACCCAAAAGATGACAACGTCTTCTGCATATCCTGACTAGGTATCAGGAAAAAATGGTACGCAGAATACATCCCATGATAGGAATTTTTTCTTTTACTGGTGTTTATTTTATTTTTCATTTTCAATTAAGTAAGTACGAATTGAACAGGTTACCTACTGGTCACTGGAGTAATAAGAAGGACCCTTCCTGCAAAGAACTAGTATTTTCTTTCTTTTTTAAAAAAAATATATTTTATTGATTTCTTACAGAGAGGAAGGGAGGGAAATTGAGAGCTAGAAACATCAATGAGAGAGAAACATTGATCAGCTGCATACTGTACACCCCCTACTGGGGATGTGCCCGCAACCAAGGTACATGCCCTGGACCGGATTCGAACCTTGGACCTTTCAGTCCGCACACTGAGCCAAACGGGTTTCGGCTAGTATTTTCTTGTAAACAGCATTTTTAAAGGTCCTGCTTGTCTCCAGGGTGTTCCCGCGGAATGCTTCTTTGTGAAGTGCGACGGCTTGCTGGCCGACAGCAGGGACACAGTGCGACATGGAGCTGTGTACAGTTTGGAGCCCAGACTTCATGGTGGAAAAGGAGGTAGGACACTGGGGATGTGCCCGCAACCAAGGCACATGCCCCCGACCGGAATCGAACCTGGGCCCCTTCAGTCCACAGGCCAATGCTCTATCCACTGAGCCACACCGGTTTCGGCCCTTGAACACTTTTTAACCCGCTCTCCCCACCTGTATTTGCTCAGGCTTTGGGTCTATGCTCCGAGCACTCGGTGCGCAGATTGAGAAGACAACCAATCGAGAGGCTTGCCGGGATCTCAGTGGCAGGAGACTACGAGATGTCAATCATGAAAAAGCGTAAGATGCTGTTTGTGTTTGTTTTTCTAAAATATATTGATATCAGAGAAAAAGTGAGAGGGAGAGAGAGAAACATCAATGATGACAGAGAATCATTGACCAGCTGCCTCCTGCATGCCCCACACTGGGGAGACGAGCCCGCAACCCGCGCGTGTGCCCTTTGACCAGAATTGATTGAACTATGACCTCCTGGTTCATGGGTCGATGCTCAACCACTGAGCCACACCAGTCAGGCTGTTTTTTTGTTTTGTTTTGTTTTGTTTTTTTTTGAGCAGTGGTGATGATACGCCATGCATATCAGAAACATAACCGTGTGTTCTGATTTACTGTTATCAGATTTACCTTTTCTATACTTCAATAGTTCTCTCTAGGTCTCAGTTAAGTCCTTTACAATATGCTGGTAGTGAGTGAGGCGCATCTTTCTCGGGGAGCAGCACAGTATGAGCAAGAGGGCAATACTTTGTTGGGGAAGGAAATACATGCCAGACAGCCGTTCAGTGACATCGTTCTCCCCCCCCCCCCCCCCCCCCGCAGAATGGCGGAGTGGGTGAAACAGCAAGCTGAGCGGGAAGCGGAGAAGGAGCAGAGACGCCTGGAGCGACTGCAGCGGAAGCTGGCGGAGCCCCGGCACTGTTTCACCAACCCCGACTACCAGCAGCAGTGCCACGAGATGGCCGAGCGCCTGGAGGATTCCGTCCTCAAAGGTGAGCGTGAGGGCGAGGGTTCCTTGGTGTGGGCAGCGGGCACCCTGAGGCCAGCTGATCCTGACTCTCCCTCACTGAGCACAGAGGTTCTTCCCGTTTCTGGGGTCACAGGCCTCTGAGAATCTGATTGTTGTTGTTTTTTTGTGTTTTTTTTGTTTTGTTTTTAATATATTTTATTGATTTCATACAGAGAGGAAGGGAGAGAGATAGAGAGTTAGAAACATCGATGAGAGAGAGTCATCGATCAGCTGCCTCTTGCACACCCCCCACTGGGGACATGCCCGCAACCAAGGTACATGCCCTTGACCGGAATTGAACCCGGGACCTTTCAGTCTCCAAGCCGACGCTCTATCCATTGAGCCAAACCGGTCTCGGCTGATTGTTGTTGTTGTTGTTAGTCCTCACCCAAGGATATTTTTCCCGTTGATTTTTTTTTTTCCCTCTTCTCATTTTTCTTTCTTTTTTAAAATTTATTATTTTACTTTTTCATTGATTTATTAAAAAATATTTTTATTGATTTTTTACAAAGAGGAAGGGAGAGGGATAGAGAGTTAGACACATCGATGAGAGAGAAACATCCATTAGCTGCCTCCTGCATGACCCCTACTGGGGATCAAGCTTGCATCCGAGGCACATGCCCTTGACCAGAATCGAATTCGGGACCCTTGAGTCTGAGGGCCAACGCTCTATCCACTGAACCACACTGGCTAGGGCTCCATTGGTTTTTAGAGTGGAAGTGATGGGGAGAAATAGAAACATCGATTGGTTGCCTCCCACTTGGGGCCCCAATAGTTAAGTCTTTAGGAGGTGCCTAGAGCTTAACATAATTGCTTCCAGTTTTAGGTTAGTTTTTATTTTTCAATGGTTTTTAGTAAGAATGATTGCCGTGAACTTTCATTAGAATCCAGAGCATCGTTCTAGGGTTCTTGTGGGTGCAATTGAATAAGGAGTCTTTCCCCTCAGAAAGGTCTGACACAACAAGGGAAAGACAAATACATATACAGAATGAAGCGTTGGGTGCGGGGAGGGCGAGGCCTGACCCTGCCGGCCTCAGGGTTGACCAGTTGGACATTGTGCTTCATAACACGTTCCGGGCCCAGCATGCGTACTTCGGGGTAAAGTTGAGGTTAATCTCGTTTTCACCTTCTTGAATTTAGAGCTCTAGATGGCTGCTCGCTTTGCCATCTGGAGTATTCAGAGTCTTCCATTAGACTTGGTCCCGATGGTAGACACTGAGTTGTTGACATCTCTGGCTAGGTATGCAGGCCTCCGCCAGCAAGCTGGTATCAGCAGAAATGGGGGAGACGCGGAAGAGGCCCAGCAAACCGGAAGCAGACGGAGGATCCAGCGCCCCGAAAAGGAAGTGCTTTTGGTGAGTCTGTTTTCATTTTCATTCCAAATTGACCCTGGAGGACCGCCCTGGGACTCAGCCTTCCTGTCCGTCTGGGATAAACACATCTTCCCGTGGTGACCGATGGCAGCCCCGGCATTTCCTCTGAGCCCCCCCCCCAGAGGCCCGGGTTGTCACGTTGTACCCACCATGATGGTTTCCGCTGTGAGTGCCATTAATGGAACCTGAGGATAGCATTTTCCCGTACATGAGAGATCACAGGCTGCTTTATGCTTGAATTGCTGTTTGGTGTTGAAAGGGTTAACTTTCTTTAAAAAAAATATATAGATAGATAGATAGATAGATAGATAGATAGATAGATAAATTTTACTGATTTTTTACAGAGAGGAAGAGAGAGGGATAGAGAGTTAGAAACATGGTTGAGAGGGAATCATCAATCAGCTGCCTCCTGCACACTCCCCACTGGGGATGTGCCCGCCACCAGGGTACATGCCCTTGACTGGAATCGAACCCGGGACCTTTCAGTCCGCAGGCTGACACTCTATCCACTGAGCCAGACCGGTTTCGGCAAAAGGGTTAACTTTCAAGAAGCCCAAGTGGAAATGCCAGAACTGTCCTTTCCAGGTGGCTCTGTATTTTTGTTTTGTTTTGTTTTTTTCCTGGCGTTTTTCACAGTCGTAATCGAGGTCTCTGGTGGCGCTGCCAGACCTCTCTCCACCGCCCTCGCACTCGTGGGTCAAGAGCACAAGAGGACTTTTCTCAGCCTTTCTCCCGATCGCTCTCCGCCCTCCCCAGCTGGTCCTCCGGTTTCCAGCTCCGTTCCCTTGGGCCATGTTCTAGATAAGTCCAAACGGATCTGGCTTCCTTGTAGGCCTGCCCTTGGGGACGGAAAGATAATCATTAACCAAAGACCGTGTAACTCTGAGTCCAGCATAGAAATGTATGCATTCATTCTGAAATGGGAATGAAACGTTTCTGGGAGAAAAGGCATTGTGTGTTTCTTTCTTTCTTTTCTTTTTTTTTTTTTTTTTTTATATATTTTATTGATTTTTTACAGAGAGAAAGGGAGAGAGAGAGAGCTTGAAACGTCCATGAGAGAGAAACATCGACCAGCTGCCTCTGCACACCCACTGCCGGGGATGTGCCCGCAACCAATGTACATGTCCTTGACCGGAATTGAACCTGGGACCTTGCAGTCTGCAGATCAGAGCCAAACCAGTTTCAGCAAGTTGAGTAATTTCCAACAGTTGAAATCTGTACAGTATGGGGAGAAAGCTGCATGGACTCAGTTTTACGAGATTAACAGCTTTAGGAAGGAGATCCTCTGGGATCTTGGGGATGGTTGGGTTCCCAATCTCATTGAATTTCCCCCCTTCTGTTTATGCCCCTGGGATGCCCTTTTCTGAAATGTAGCTACTCTCCCTCCCAGGTTAGATGTTTTTATTCAGACAGAGTCTGAACCCTGCACAAACAACGGCCCCTTTTCAAGTAGCAGGTGTGAGTGGCGCTAACCTTTGTGTCGTTTCCGACAGGCTGGGCGTGGAAGGCCTGGAGACTGCGGAGGGGTCCGGCTCCGACAGCTCCAGCTCCGATGACGACAGTGACGAGGCCCCTGGCACCTCGGGAACGAGCTCGCCCGCTCCGAACAAGGACAGCGCCGGAGTGGAGAGCGTGGGCGAATGTTCCAGGAGTCCTGGCGTCCTCAGTACAGACTGTCACTCACCAGAAGCACTTCCGAGCCCCGGGGCTGGCTCTGGGGACAGCCTTTCAGACAACCCGTGTGCCCAGCGGGGGGACACAGCTGCCCGGGAGCGGGGGGAGAGGAATGGCACTGCAGACACAGAGACAGCCCAGGAGAAGGAGGAGGCCCAGGGGAGGGGACCTGCAGAAGCAGCAGCTGCCGGGCCCGGACCGAAGAGGGAGACAGAGACAGAAGTGACTGATGGGGTGCCAGCCGCCAGGGCAGCACCTGCAGAAGACGGCGAGGGTATTCCCAGCACCAGACCCGGGGACAGCCAGGCCGGCAGCTCAGTGAGTATTCAGGGTCGTGTCTAAAGCCAAGTCCGCTGAGGCTCCACAGAGAGTCAGCGAAGTGAAGGCGCTTTTCCCACAGCTGCTCAGGCGGAAAGCTTGTTCAGTCATCAGAGAAGTACAGGCTGATGTTGGTGAAGGTGGCCTTGGCCCCTAAAAGCCCTTAAGACTTTTTTTAGCTTCAGAATTTGTGTGTGTGTGTGTGTGTGTGTGTGTGTGTGTGTGTGTGTGTATTTGCCACTAGGTGGTGTCCTTTCATTCATTCTATGCTTTTCACATTTTAATGTGAATTTGTTTTTGTTGTTGTTGTTGTTTTTTAAATATATTTTATTGATTTTTTACAGAGAGGAAGAGAGAGGGATAGAGAGCTAGAAACGTCAATGACAGAGAATCATCCATCGGCTGCCTCTTGCACACCCCCTACTGGGGATATGCCCGCAACCAAGGTACATACCCTTGACCGGAATCGAACCCAGGACCCTTCAGTCCTCAGACCGACCCTCTATCACTGAGCCAAACCGGTTTCGGCTTAATGTGAATTTGGATGTATATCCCGAATGATAGCAGAATTGTACCGTTCGTTCTTTCCCAGTACTGCATCCAGTCGGAAGCCACATTAAGGGAGCTGGTATTTTAGATTTGATGGGAGGAGCCCGTTTTAAACGTTTTCTCTGTTGTGTTATCCCCCCCTCAGGCTCTGGGTCAGGCGTCGGTGGACTTGCTGGCCTTCAGCTCCGTGGCCGAAATGGAGTCGCTGGGCCTGGAGCAGCTCAAGCGCGAGCTGATGGGCCGCGGGCTGAAGTGCGGGGGCACCCTCCGGGAGCGCGCCGCCCGGCTCTTCTCCGTGCGCGGCCTCGCCCCCGAGCTCATCGACCCCGCGCTGCTCGCCAGGCCCCCCAAGGGGAGGAAGAAGTGAACCCGGAGCGGATGGATGTCCTGCGCTCTCTGGTCCCGCACTCACAGCCGGCCTGACAGGGACCCGTGGCCCTTACACCTGCTGATGCTTGGCTGGCTTTTTAATAAGCCAGTCCTAATCGTCCGCTCCCTCATGGAGACATTTATAGAATTATGGGCGAAACCCTCCGAGCCTGACTCTGTGGGAAGGGTTTTTCATAACAAAATTTCATGTAATAAACATACAACCATTCCGATTTTTGGTAAGTTGTATTTTCAAGGGATTGATCCGTTTGACCAAGTTGTCAGATTTGTAGGTGTCTGTAAGGGCTGCTGTGGTAACTTTCTTTATCAAAACCTTAGGTTTTTGTGTGTGTGTGTTTTTTTCCCCATCTGAGTTTTTAAATGATTTCCTGAAAGGGAGATAGCTATGCCATAATTCTCTCTCAGTATTAGCAGGGATGCTCTGTTTATAATTATCACAGAAAACAGCTAGTCAGTGAAAGGACGTGGGCAAAGCTGGGTGGTAATTAATGCTTTAGGAAGTCACATGGCTATTTAAAGAGATCCCAGCGAAAGAAAGAACGCTTTCTGTGATCCCACGTTTTGTTGAAATTTGCCAGCTCGATTCAGCGGGGGCAGGTGGGAGGTTGTGAACGTGAGTGAAATCCAGGTGCTCAGCATTTGGCTTACTCTTTCCGAGAGCGGTACAAACCACATTTGATCTTAGATGTGTGGAAAGGGTAAAGCTTCAAGAAGAACTGTGGTTTTTTTTTCTTTATTATGATCTTTCAGAAATATTTTGGACACTTGCCTTATTTCATGATGGTAGTAACGACCGTATGAAGACATTGCTCTTCGTTTTTCTTGGTTTCTATTCATTTTCTTAGTTTGAACTATATCAGAACTCCCCTCCCCTCCCTTTCCTGCTTGCTGCTTTTTTTTTTTTTAATTTTTAATTTTTATTGATTTCAGAGAGAGAGGGAGAGGGAGAGACAGAAACATCAATGATGAGAGAGAATCATTGATCGGCTGCCTCCTGTATGCGCCCCACCAGGGGTTGAGCCTGCAATCCAGGCATGTGCCCCTGACCAGAATCGAACCTGGGACCCCTCCCCTCCCTACTCTGCAGGCCAATGGTCTATCCACTGAGCCAAACCAGCCAGGGCTTGCTTCTGTTTTTACAGATGCGTTCTCTTGGTACTCTGTGTGTGTATGTTTTAAGGACGTGATATATCTTGTGATCCCTCAAATTGATTACAATTATTCCTTTTTTAAGGATGTCCGAATGTGCGTGAATGGAGGCTTAGGGTGGAATTGGTGTATGAGGGGTTTGGTGGGGCCAGGGCAGAAGACAAGGGGATGGTGCAGAAATGGGGGGTTGGGAGAGAAGAGTCTGTTGCAGTGTAGTTACAAGAGGTTCAGGGGTAGTCTAGATATTTGAGAACAGTTTTCTTTAAATTATGTGGCTATCTGCACTTTTAAAAAAATAGGTTTTTACTGATTTCAAAGGGAAAGAGAGAAACATCAAGGATAAGAGATATCACAGATCCGCTGCCTCCTGCAAGCCCCCCACTGGGGATCGAGCCCCGAACCCTGGGCATGTGCCCTCATCAGGATTTGAACCGTGACCACCTGCTTCCTAGATCAACGCTCACCCACGGGGCCACGCTGGCCGGGCTGTGCAAACCCTAGAGACGCGCTCAAAGAGGGAAGCGGAGCGTTCAGATCGTCCAGATGGAGTGGAGGTTTGGTACTGGGGCAGATCAGAGGTTCTTTCACAGTGGGGGTCGGGCAGCCACGCCCAACGCATTTTCCCGCGGCGGCAGCATGCTATGCCCGGGGCAGCGCCCCTTCCCTAATTGGCACCGCCAGGCCCTTCTGTTGCTCTCTCCCGCTGGGCCCTGCCTCGTGGGCCTGGACTGTGCCTGGACTGTAGTTCTGCAAGTGCTGCTTTCCTGTGACATGAGAGGCGGGAAGCAGGGAAGGTCATGCTGCATGGAGGGCCGCCTCGCCAGCCTCCCAGCGGCCGTCAGTCCAGCGCTGGCAGGTCCATGGGCTTCTGCGGCAGGTCCACGTCACGTGATGACACTTTAAAAAAAATATATTTTATTGATTTTTTACAGAGAGGAAGGGAGAGAGAGAGAGAGCTAGAAACGTCAAGGAGAGAGACACATTGACCAGTTGCCTCCTGCACACCCCCTACTGGGAATGTGCCCGCAACCAACGTACATGCCCCTGACCGGAATCGAACCTGGGACCTTTCAGTCTGCAGACCGACGCTCTACCACTCAGCCACACCGGTTTGGGCACGTGATGGCACTTCGATCTGAGAGCCTTTCTCCTTCCCCGGTTCCTGGGGCTGATACTGAGGTTCCTGGTTACATTTCTTCTCTTCTTATTCCAGCGGGAGTTAAATGCATGTGCTCAGATTACCACCTAAACCAGAACCTGATGGTGGGTTTTCACGATTAAATCCCCCCCCCCCCCCCCGCAGCCCTAGCTGGTTTGTCTCAGTGGGTAGAGCGTGGGCCTGGGGACTGGAAGGTCCCAAGTTCGATTCCGGTCAAGGGCATGTACATTGGTTTTGGGCACATCCCCAGGAGGGGGTGTGCAGGAGGCAGCTGGTCCATGCTTCTCTCTCATCGATGTTTCTAGCTCTCTATCCCTCTCCCCTCCTCTCTGTAAAAAAAAAAAAATCAATAAAAATATATATATTAAAAAATCTGGTTAAGGGCACATGTCCAGATGCGCAGTGGGGGACGTGCAGGAGACAGCTGGTCCATGATTCTGTCTCATCATTGATGTTTCTATCTCCTTCCGCTCTGAAATGAATACAAAAAATACATTTTTTAAAAAGTGCCTCTCCGATGAAGGTTGTTGAGGAAAGTTGACTGGGACAGAGTATTTAACAAAAGGAAACCTGAGAGCAATTAAGGTGCAGGCCGAACATCAGTTCTGTAGAAAGGGATTGAGGTACCACCTGCCAACCCTCAGAAAAACGCTTCCAATTTCCGGGAGAAAGCCAGGCCCTTCCTGCTGCCAGCAGAGGGCGCTGAGCGCTCAGAAACTGAGCAGGAGCCGGAGTGGGAACCCGGAACACTGCTCCGAAGGTGGGTCCCTGCCAGCCATGGGGCGGCCCCCCAACCCCGCCTCCTCCGGGGTAAGTGGCGGGCAGCTGGCCTGAACTTGACCGGGTTCTATCCTTTCTGATTCCTGCGTTCTCGTGTGTCACTCCAGCTCTCCGCTCTGCCAGGCGTGAATAAATCATGTAGAGGCTGCGCAGCCCTTACAACGAATTCCTTCGCAACAAACAGGCTCCTTTCTGAGCGTCTGCTGTTGTTTTCTGAGGGGTTTGAGCCTCCAGGAGACGGGGGTCGGATGCCCGGGCGCCCTGCAGCCTGACACGGGCTGGGCTGGAGCCTTGTAGGAGGGATTTTTATTTTATTTTTTATTATACATATATATATATATTATTGATTTTTTAGAGAGGAAGAGAGAGAAACATCGATGAGAGAGAATCATCGACCAGCTGCCTCCTGCACACCCCCTACTGGGGATGTGCCCGCAACCAAGGTACATGCCTTTGACCGGAATCGAACCTGGGACCCTACAGTCCGCAGGCCGACGCTCTGTCCACTGAGCCACACCGGTTTCAGCATTAGGGTTTTTGTTTTTTGTTTTTAAATCTTGTTGGACAGAGGATAGCCAGCATGTTGAAGACACCAGTGTTAAAGACAGTTCTGGAAATTCAAACATATTTACATACCAAGCGGGCATAACCCTTTCTGGAAAGGCTTCTGAGTTGCTCCATCCTGCATCCTGTTCCTGTCTCCCGTTAGGAGGTCACCAGCATTGACCTCCGATCATCGACCAGCTGCCTCCTGCACACCCCCCACCGGGGATGTGCCCGCAACCAAGGTACATGCCCTTGACCGGAATCGAACCTGGGACCTTTCAGTCCGCAGGCCGACGCTCTATCCACTGAGCCACACCGGCCTCCACCCCCCCTTTTTTCTTTTTTCTGCTTTCCCCCTTGAGTCCCAGCCCTGATGCCCATCTCCCCACACACACAGCAGGCACCATCATCTTGTAACCATTCTTTACTGCGGTAAAATACACATCCTATAACAGGTACTATTTTAAACACGTAAATGACCGGGGTTAAGTGCATTCACACGTGTGCACACAGGACCTCTGTCCATCTCCAGAACTTTCTCATCTTCCCAAACTGAAACTCTATCCCCGGTGACACACTAACTCCGCCCTGCTCTCCTCCATCCCCTGGTAGCCACCGTTCTACCCCCTGTCCCCGAGTGTGCCGGCTCCAGGGAGCTCATGTCAGTGGGATCATACAACACTTGTCCTTCCGTGACTGGCTTCATGTCTTCCAGGCGCATCCATGTCGTGGCATGTGCCCGAATTTCCATCTGTTTTAAGGCCGAGTCAATAGTGCATTGCATGTGTATGCCGTGTTTTGCTTATCCATAAGGATTATCTTTCAAAATGCAAATCAGATCAGTTTTCTTTTTTGGTTAACACTCCTCGGTGGCTTCCCCTGGCTCTCGGAGTCAGAGCCTTAAGGTGGCCTGGGCACTAACTGGTTTGGCTCAGTGGATAGAGCGTCGGCCTGCGGACTGAAAGGTCCCGGGTTTGATTCCGGTCAAAGGCATGGACCTTGGTTGCGGGCACATCCCCAGGAGGAGGTGTGCAGGAAGCAGCTGATCGACGTTTCTCTCTCATTGATGTTTCTAGCTCTCTATCCCTATCTCTTCCTCTCTGTAAAAATCAATTATATATATATATATTATTTTTTATTTATTTTTTCACAATTTATTTATTATTTTTAAATATATTTTATTGATTTTGTACAAGGAGGAAGGGAGACAGAGAGTTAGAAACATCGATGAGAGAGAGTCATCGATCAGCTGCCTTTTGCACACCCCCCACTGGGGATCTGCCCGCAACCAAGGTACATGCCCTTGTCCGGAATCGAACCAGGGACCCTTCAGTCCCCAAGCC